CTCCCCAGCCCCTAGCCCCCAGCCCCTGACTTTCCTATGGCTTCTCTGCCCCTTCTTAAAGATGTATTTATTTATTATGTATACAATGTTCAGCCTGCATGTATCCCTGCAGGCCAGAAGAGGGAACCAGACTTCATTAAGATGGTTGTGAGCGACCATGTGATTGCTGGGAATTGAACTCAGGACCTCTGGAAAAACAGGCAGTGCTCTTAACCCCTGAGCCGTCTCTCCAGCCCTCTCTGCTCGATTCTTAACCTTCACATTGCCTGGGGCAGGGGGAGCTGACCCTGAACACTAAGTACATCTTGATCATCTCCCTCCCTCCCTCCCTCCCTCCCTCCCTCCCTCCCTCCCTCCCTCCCTTCCTTTCTCCCCTCTTCCCTGTGTGTAGCCCTGTCTGTTCTGGGAACTTGCTTTTTAGACCAAGCTGGCCTCAAACTCACAGATCTGCCTGCCCAATTCCACTCGCCTCCCAGTCCCTCCATATCCTTCCTTGCCTCCTGCAGCGCCTACCCAATTAATTTCTTAAAATCAAAACAAGAAAAAAGACAAAAAAAGAGCAAAAACAAAAAGAAAAGAAAACCTCTCCACTCCTCTATCTTTTTGGCCTCTCCAATACCTCTGCATTCGTCCTGGTAGCATTGGGAATCATGGTATGTCACACATGGTTTTATCCAATCAGCTTTACTTGCTAATGTTCATTGGAAAATGAGTCACTGGTTTGGTTCAAGGCCTCTGGATTTTGGTACACCATCATCACTGGATCCTCACTGAAACTTCTCCACCACAGGCAGAGGAGAGCTGACCCTGATGGCATAGGCATGGGGAGCTAGCTTTGCCCATCACCAGAGGTGGGCAGCCTGGACTGACCAGCTCAACCCAGGCCCACTGCCAGGTCTGGGGTTGGCCCACCCTAACATCTACCCCATCTAAGACCTGCTGGACCTGTTGAAAGGACTGGTCCTGTGGAAGGATAACCATAGGATCCCCGTGACTCAGGCACACCTGTTTCTTAAGCAGGTTATACTCATGGCCCTAGGGCAGCTTCATGCAGTACCTGTAGTATGCCCAAATTTGATTTGTGGCCAGTCACAGGACACAGTGTGGACACTTCTGCCGTGACATCTACCCCTCCCTCTCCCTCTCCCTCTCCCTCTCCCTCCCTCTCTCTCTCTCTCTCTCTCTCTCTCTCTGTCTGTCTCTGTCTCTGTCTCTCTCTCTGTGTCTCTGTCTGTCTCTCTCTCTGTCTCTCTGTCTCTCTCTATGTCTCTGTCTGTGTCTCTGTCTCTGTCTCTGTCTCTCTCTCTCTCTCTCTCTCTCTCTCTCTCTCTCTCTCTCTCTCTCTCTCTCTCTCTCTCTCTCTCTCTCTCTCTCCATACTTTCTCCTCTCTCCTGCTGCTCTTATCCCTAGAGGGAGGCCAGCATCTCCTCTCCCCTTTCCTTTTTTTTAACGATCCTTTTCCCCTAAACCAGCATTCAGATGATTTAGAGATTTCCAGATGCAGAACACTGAAACTGTAGAAGGAATATTTGGGCCTGAATTTATTTCCCCTTCTTTTTCTTTCTTCCTTCTATCTTTTAAACACAGCACCATATACACAGTCCAGATATTGGATTTTTAAAAATATATTGTTATGTCTTGGAAATCAATTTTTACCAGCCATTCAGAGCTTTGTGGGTTTTTTTTTAATGAGTTGCAGGATATACCACTGCTATAAATGCCACATAATATGGCCACATGGTCCCCTGTCAGATATCTGTTTTCAAGGTTTTCTGCTGCAGTGGTTCAGTGATCAGTCTTACATCTGTGTTCCTGCTACAAACAACCACATAGAAACTTTCACAAGTGAAATTGCTAATTGTGGTGTTTATGCTTTTCCAAAAGGAGGATTTTTTAAAATTCTATTTCTTAAGTTGCTTCTCAGGTGCCTGTTCACGTGTCCACTGATTCCTGAATGTGACCAATGTTTGCCATTTTTTTCATACTCTTCTCTGTGTCTCTTCTGGGTTCTGAGATAACTTTAGAGGTCCTGCAGCTCACTGCCTGCCCTTTGTTTGACATCTCCTGTGATCACTGATCCAGGGGTGTGACAGTCACATGTTTTGCTCTGAGAGTTCTTGTTCTTTTGTCAAGGCGACTGGCCTTTCATCTTCTGGCCTTCTTTGTGAAGGGTAACATGCTTATGGGAGTCCTGTCCACATCCTAACTGCTCAGATGAATTCTTACGGCACATACTTTATATACCCAGCACCCGATATTAACACCCTCAGCACCCCCTTTCTAGGCACAGTCTCTTCATAGGTCCACTTTATCTTGAACACCTGGATTAACTTTACCTGTTTTTGTTTTTAACTTTGTATGAAAGTAATTATGCAGTATGTACAGATTCTTCCTCCTCTATAATGTGTTTGATGAATGTAATTATAATTTCCATTGTTGATGTATACAATTCCATCCTGAATTTACCTAATTCATTTACTCATCTACTATTAATAGTTACTTAAGTGACTTCGAGTTTAGTTATCATTAGTAGTGCTGCCACGAACACTTTTGTGTCTTCTGATGCTCCTGTGAACACATTTTTGTTTGTTTATGTACCTAAGGATTACTGGGTCACAGGGTGTAAGTATTAAACTTCTTTTAACTATCTTTTGTTTGTTTGTTTTTCGAGACAGGGTTTCTCTGTATTGTTTTGGAGGCTATCCTGGAACTCGCTCAGTAGACCAGGTTGGTCTCGATCTCATAGAGATCCGCCTGCCTCCCTAGTGCTGGGATTAAAGGCGTGCGCCACCAACGCCTGGCTTTTTTTTACTATCTTTTTACTTATTCTTTGTGTCTTTCACATCATACATCTCGATACCATTCATCTCCTGTCTATCCACCCTCTGCCGTTGCAACCTTCCCCCAAGATAAAATTTATGAGAAAAGAAAAAGAAAATTTTGTTTGTTTGTTTGTTTGTTTTAGAGTAAGGTGGTTTAATCAAATGCTTTAGTTTTCAATTTTGTTTTCACTGCAAAGTCTCCCAGGACTCGCCCATTTGTCCATATGTACTAGGTAATTCTCAAAGTGGTATCATAGTTTGAAAATGAATTTTCTAAACCTATCTGACCACGAAATGCCCCTCTGTCATTTTTTTATTTGAACTAGAAACAAGCTTGCTTCATATGTCAATCCCAGCTCCCTCTCCCTTCCCTCCTCCCCCACCCCCTACCAACCTCCCCAATCCCCACTCCACTACCCAGGGAGTTGAGGCCCTACATGGGGGATATCTGAAGTCTGTCATGTCATCCATATATGAGTGAGTACATACCATGTTTGTCTTTTTGTGACTGGGTTACCTTACTTAGGATGGCTTCTTCTAGTACCATCCATTTGCCTGCAATTTTCAAGGTTCCATTATTTGAAAAAGAAAAGTCTTGTTGTGGAAGCTAATATGACACAGTGAGTCATGCAGTAAACCCTTTTGTCCATACATCTTTACTTGTACGTGTTCATTGCAGAGAGTCATCGGTCTGTTTTGAGGACTCTGGTTTCTACTACACCATCAATACTTGGCCCTCACTGAGACCCCTCTTGGATATCCTGTTGTTGCCCTGTGTCATGGAGATCCTACAGCTTTGGATCTGCAGGACTGGCCCCTTCGCATGCTCCAGCAGATCACAGATGGACTGAATGTTGGGGTGGGCCAACTCATAGCCCTGGTTCTGGGCCTGGGTAGTTGCAGGGCTGGTCAGCCCACTAGCTCTCCCATCCCTACCACCAGGGTGAACTCTCCAGTGTTGCCCCAGCTCGTTCATGCAGCAAGGAGCAGGGGGAGAACCAGTTCTCCTGCTTCCATTCCCTCAGGGCTGGCTCCCCTCACCTGTGCCACCAGGGCCAGGCAAGGTGCAGGGCCACTAGTACAAAACTTGGAAAGTGATGCTCTCATCTTATAGTCATGGGAGTCTCAAGTGTCCCATATCCTTGCTAACACTTGCTGTGTCCTGACTTTTGTAACCCCTTTGGTGGGTACAGGGCATACCTCATTGTAGTTTGGTTGCTATTTCTCTGGTCACATGTGACATTGAGTATATTCCTGTGTTGATTGTCCTCATTTGTGATGTTCCTGTTGACATTTATTTTTCCATTTCTAACAGTTCTATTTTAAAATGATTTTTGGCTAGCTGGAATGTCAGATTTCTAGCAAACCATTATGTCCTGCCCACTCCCTTAATCACATTCCATTTTTCCTTAGATCTTCCCTACTCTGTTATTTATTTTGTAACAAGTGATTCTTTGGTCCGGTAGCTTAGTCTTGTAGAACATTCAGTGAACTTGCATGAAACTTACTTTATTGGGAGATGTTGGCATCTACACAGAAGACATGTGGCTCTCCCCTGCCAAGTCCTCCAATAGTGTTTAAAGATGTTTTGAACAGAGAGAGAGAGAAAGAGATTGTGTTTGTGTGCCTCTGTCTGTGTCCATGTATGTATGTATGTATGTATGTATGTATGTATGTATGTATGTATGTGCAGATGCCTGAGGAGGCCAGAGGCATCAGATTGCCTGAAGCTAGAGTTCAGACAGTTTTGAGCCACCTGATGATGGGTGCTAGCAACTAAACCCAGCTCCTCTGCTAGAGCAACCAGTCTCTTAACCCCTGGGCCATCTCTCCAGCCATTATTTTTCTGCCGGTCAGGCAGCATTTTTACCTTATGTTTTATTTTCTTTTTAAAAAGTTTTATCACATTTATTTATTTACTTATACTTGTGCGTGGTGTGTCCATGCATGTGCCATGGGGTGCATATGGAGGTCTGAGGACAACTTGTAGGAGTCAGTTCCTTCCACCCTGTGGCCCCTCCCTGGGAATCAAACTTGGGTCATGAAGCTTGGTGATAACCACCTTTGCCTGCTGAGCCACCTCCCTGTTTTTAAACAAGTGATTGTTAGAAAGAAGAACCTTTTAATGCATACCTACAGCTACAGCTCCCTTTCTAAAAGTATCAATGTTTTTGCAGGTTCTTGATCAATACGAGCGGGAAGGATTTGCCTTCCTAGCCAAGGTGTTTAACTCCTCACATTCCTTCTTAGAAGACTTGACTGGTCTTACGCTGCTCCATCAAGAGACCCAAGCTGCTGAGGTAAGAACACAGCATTTCTGTCCTAAGGACTGAGTTTTACAACCTGCCTAACTCTTGCTTTTGTAGAAGATGATAGAGTGGTTGATTTTGGCCTTTTTTTTTTCCTGAGAGCAGGTAGCACGTTGGTCATCAGTGACACACCCTGGTGTGCTAAGGTGTCTAACCTGTATCTGCTGAAAGCAGGAAGCAGGACAGAGTAAGAACAGGCCCCTGATTTCTAAGCATCTCTTGTGTTTTTGGAAGGTGTGCTAAAGTATAGCTGTCAGTGAAGGCCTTGGACTCTGGCTGTGTCATTAGAGAACATGTGACCTGCTTGTTGTTGACAGCCTGGTCAGTCTTAGGTACCAACATTGGCCTATTGTGAAATGACCAATGTCCCAATGATTGAGGGACAGACACAGGTGTCAGTGAAGCCCACAGTTCCTCAAAATGGGTAGCTGAGAATGAGTGGCTCTTCCCTGAAAAGGTCACAAGGTGAGCCGAGCCCTCATGGCACTTCTGTGGCTATGCAGGGAAGCCCTTGCCATCCCATTTTCTGCAGACCTGGCTCAGTGCTGCAAAGCCATATGTCCTGGTCATTGATAAATACCCCAGGGATTGCATCTCTACACCACTGAGCAGGCCCCAAGTAATCAGGAGTGGCTGACTTGGATCAGTCCTGGTCGGCCAGTGGAATAAGGGCTGCCGTTTGGATGAGTGGGATGAGCTCCGAGTAGAAGAAACCATTGGAAAAACCAGAGTGCAGTTGCTTGGACTCATGAGCAGGTCGGGGTGAGGTTGACAGGCACACCCAGGAAACAAGGCATTCTGCCTCTAGCACTTGGCTCAGAGCTGAAAGTGCATTTTCCCTAACTTGTTCAGATGCTGGGGTGTTAAGAGATGTGGTCCTTACTGATGTCTTGTACTTAGAAGCTGGAGAGTCTCTCATCCCCAGGGCCAGAAAGTGAATAGCACCTCTAGAGAACTCTGAGAGATAAAACTGTCCCCTAGAACTGAGACTGGGGTCTCAGGCAGGTTTCAGGAGGTTTTGCTGATGGTGGCTTCTGTGGCCTGGAAATTCATGAGGAGGAAGCTGTAGATCTTAGCAGCACCGACATCACTGGTGAGATGGTGAGAGGGCTTTGCCAGCCAACAGAATTAACTTCTTTCCCAGCTCAGAAGAGCTGCAGCAGAGATTTCCTTGTGTCTCACTCTAGAGACAGAGCAGATGTCAGGGTTCATCCCTTGAGCACATCCGGTTAGTCTGCATTTTGGTGTCTCAGCCAGTCATATCCTTCTCAGAGGCCCAGAGGAAAAGAAGTTCCTGCCAGCCTTGGTGACAATAAGCTGTGGACAGGAAGGACAAGCTTCATCTGTGAGCCTGAGTGGTTTTTATTTTATTTTATTGTTTTGAAGTTACCTTTACTAAGTGGGCTGTAGAGTCAGAAATCCCCCATAACATTGGAGGTGAGTGATAATTAGTCAGTTAGCCTATGAGCCAGATGTGACTTGCAGCTGTGGTGTTTTGGAGCTTGGCTGTGTTGAATTTTAAAGAAAGCCAGAATTTTAAAATCACAACTTTTACATAAAAGTCTCAATTTCCTCATTCACAACTTCTTTGAAAAATCTAATCTGGCAACTGCAGGCACGTGCTCCTTGACTAGAGGGAGCTAAACAGCATGTCCTGTATAGAAATGACGCATAGAATGATGCATGGGATTCAGGCTTTGAAGGCATAAAGCATGTGAAGGCTGTGGATTCAGCTCCATGGTGCGGGGCTTCCTGGCATGCACAAGGCCCTGGGCCCAGTGCCAGCGCCACATTAGGAATGTCTATAGAAGCAGTTGTCATGCCTGTCACGTGGCTCCGTTTCCTCTCCTGGAGACAGACAGATGCTGTTTCTTCATCCTTCAGCCATGTTCTGGATTGATTTCATGCTCTGCAGTTGACAGCCTTTCTGGGAGTTTGGGTCTGTAACCCTTGGCTTACCAAAGCTCTAAATAGAAGCTTTAACAGAAGGACAAAACATAGTGCTCACCGGGGGACCTCAAGGCAGCAAAAGTCACTGTCTCACCTCTGCCGCCTCCTTGCTCTGAAAAGAGCATGTATATGTAAGAGAATAAATACAGATGTCAGAGAGTAGCATTACTGCCTACTGGTACTTTCCTAACTTGTGGAATTCCAAGCCTCAATGCCCCAGGGTAAAGAGGAAGATCAGGAGTTCAAAGTCATCCTTAGCTGTGTAACAAACTCAGGGTCAGTCTGGGCTACATGAAACCATATCTCAAATGCAAAACAAAGCCAAAAACATCTGTTTATATATAGTATTTTGATTTTTGTACTTATTTCTGGTGAATTTGTAGATGCTTAGTATGAAAATATGAACTTCTATATTTTTAATGCAACCTAATGAGAATGATAATTACCTTTTGGATCAACTGTTTTCATGGGTTTGGTGTTACAAAAGACTCATTAAAATAATATACATTGTTTTATTATATATGTTTTTTATAAAAGAATTTTAAAATTTTTGTGGTGCTGGAGCTCAGGACCATATGCATTTGTGAGTGAGTGGTGTGTGTTTGTGTACATATATATGTATATACACACACATATGTGTGTGTGTGTGAGTGATGAGTGAATGTGTGAGTGTGTTTGTGTGAGTGTGTGTGTGTGTGTGAGAGAGAGAGTGTGTGTGTGTGTGTGTGTGTGTGTGTGTGTGTAAAACTGTTTAAAAATGACTGAACTTCTTCTGAAGGTCTGATGCCCAGGTACATGGTGGTTACTGAACAAGAGTTGATGGCACTCACAAACTCATGTTCGTTGTGAGAAGTGAGGTGTTAGCAGTGAGCTGAGGTGCATCAAAAATGGTTAGCCTTTATGTAGGCAGTAAGTCCTGAGCCTCACACAGATGGCATGCAGGAAAGCCTTTTGGGAAGGCAACCAGCATTCCCTTTAGTTTTAAAGGGTGAGAAACTTCTTCATATACAAAAGCTGCATTGGTCATTGAAAGACAGAGAAGAGAGGAGCAGCACCCCCAGCCTCCCTGACTTACAGGGCACGTGACACAGCCACAAGGTTCATCCTGTTTTCAAGTGATAATTCTGTAATTTTTAGTTTTCTTGGATGGCATTATTATTGCCCCCACTTGCATATTTTTATCACCCCCAGAAATAACATGCCCATTATGGGGTCACTCCCCTTTCCCTGCCCTTCCAGCACTAATCTCTAGAAAGTTCTGCGGTTTAGCACCTGTGTCTCCATGCAGCACTCCTCCTTACAGAAGGAGGAGTGCCCAGTTGAACCTGCCAGAGACCATATGTCCTCTTGTTCCCACAGAAAGGCCACAGTGACAAAGATACAACCAAGCAGGGACATCTGTATTCAGTGAGATTGACCATGGCAACCCTAGCCTTGCTACCTACCATCCTTCCTTCCACTGTCACTCATCCTAATGGACTGCAGTGAGTTCATTGAAAGTCACTGGTGCCTGACCTGCTATGGAGATGACCAGGCAGTGGGGAAGGAAGAGCTAAGAATCACAGTTGCAGATGGAGCTTGGGGCCAGCCCTAGAAAGATGCCTTGCTTATGGTGGTGATGTTTTGGTGGTAACACTATGAGAGACAGTGACTGGATGTCACTAGGGATGAAGCTTGAAAGTAAAGTAACAGGACCAGTGAACCATCATGACAGAGAACAGGGAGTTACCCTGTCTGCCACAGTGAGGAAAGGCTACTGAACCAGGGTGTAGTTGTTGTTCGTTTGTTTTTATATACAAGGTCTCACTGTGTAGCTTTGGATGGCTTGGAACCCACTAAGTAGACCAGTCTGACCCCCAACCTCACAGAGATCTGCCTGTCTCTGCCAGCCACCCAGGTACCAATCCAGATGTTCTTAATGTAGAATACTATGGAGGGTAACTTTTATTTCACATTAAAAGTTTAAAAGCACTTCCATGGAGAGGCCATTTGCCTTGATTTGTATTTTATCTTGTAAAGATGGCACCTTGGACAGACACCTACACTCTTTGAATCCCATCCAGCTGCCAAATATTTTCATATTGCCCATGGAATGTTAGAAATCCCCACGGCGGGAAGACCTCATTCATTCAGCTTCCTATACTCTTAAAACATGGCCATTGATGAAGGATGCTTTCACATTTTATCTTCAAGACCCAACTTTCTGAGAGTGCTGGCTCTCAGAGACTGGCCTCTGTGCAACCTGAGGAAATGGAAGTTGCAGGCTGATGACCACAGGGTGTTCCAGCCACAGATCTGCTGAGGAGTTCCCTGGGTGTTTCTTTAATTGATGGATTTCTCAGTGTGACTCAAACATGCAAATGCGGTAGCCTCGTTTTATGAAACTGGCTCAACTTAGCCTCCAGGGTTATTTCTCATCCTGGGACAAAATATCAGTTTCCATGTTTTTTATTTTATTCCAACTGTGGGTTCAACATCGTGCTCTGAGAAACACCAAGATATATTTTTCCAGTCTGTCTAACTAAGAAGGATGGTTCCCTAAGAGGACTGACAAAACAAGCCCTGTTGGTCCCTCCTTTAGACATTGAAATTCCCAGATCCAGTAGCCATAATCTGGCCATTCTCCTGCTTCCAGGATTAGCCTGAGACTACCTGCCCCTCTCTCAGGCCTCTTGACAACTCTGACTATTGCACCATGGCTGATGTCAGCATCATCCTATTCTTAGCACTGTGCTCACGGCACTTATGTCTTCACGTTTTGGTGACATGGCATGCTTTCTGCAGATCTGGGAAGTTAATTAGTGATAATGGGGAGGAAAGCTAACTGTGAACACGGTCATACAGCCCTTGCCGGCTGGCAGTCACAAGGAGGGCTGTGCTGGCAGATGCATCTAGAGCTGAGATTCAAACTCTGCCCCTTTGGCTACAGACCTCTAGAAGGTGGAAAGTCACGGAGAAGCATGGTAGCCATGCAGTGTGACTTCTTAGGCACAGAGACTTCCTCTCATGCTCAGTGAGCCACACTGTTAACAAGGGTTTCT